TGGACAGGCACATGATCCAGTCAAAGTGTAGACAGTTTGGCGTGGAGCTTCCAATTCCACCTTGTAAATACGAATTTGCAAAAGCTAACGTTGTGAGGATGTGATTACATATTCAAAAGTCGAATTTAATGGAAGGCCTTTCTTTTCCCTAGTTCCTCATAGTCTGTATTTGCTAATTATATTGGCCGATTCCAAATTGACAATTATAAAATACAGATAAGGTATAAATAAATTATGTATAAATTATGAATAAATAAATGATATAACAAAGGATAAATTAAGAATTAAAATAAAATATAAATAACTTATTAACAAATAAATTATAAATAAAAACAAACTACAAAAAAACTTATAGAATAAAATTATATTATATATAAATTATGCATTTCTAAATTAAAGAACGAACGTAAATTATATAAAAATTATAGACAAAATCTATTATAAATAATTTCTAGAATAGAATTCATAAATTATGAATTAATTAATTACAGAATAAGAAATACATGATAAATAATTTCTCGAATAAAAATAAGTGCTGAATAAAAAATGCAGAAATTTATAATTCAAAATTCTTTCATATTCAGGTTAGTAATTGATAAATTTGGTGAATCATATTATATTAGACTCTTTGTGTTTGGCCAGTGAAATCACGTTCAATAAAAGCAGCATAAATCTATCAAAAATAGACCAAGAGAATTATGTAACATATATTCAAAAGTAAAATAGTGCAGCATATGATAATAAACTGTTACTTTGAAAATCAAGTGGAATATCAATTAACCATAACTCAAGAAGTCCGCCATAAAAAAAAAGAGTGCTGTAATGGATAGCGGCTCGGATTGTGGAATCGGAGAGCCGAGTTCGAATTTCAGTCGAATCCATTACATTGACTTACGTGCTAATACCCTTGGGAAAGGTGAGAATCGTCTTCTTCACCATCCCCCAATAGCAGGACAGACTGGGTTCTATAGCCTTGGATAGCAACTGGTCTACCGCAAAAAGAAATGGCAACCTACTGCGAGAAAAAATCTGTCTCGTCAGTCCTGTATCGCCTAAACGTGTATCACATAACTGGCTGAGATACACTTAAAATGAATCGAAATATATTTCCAAATGGACATCTAAGACAGTCATTGCTACTTTTTCAGCTGGGTCATCCTTCTTTGAACTCTGGCGCTAAGCTTCTAACCATTTGACTACGTGTCATAACTTTTTAATACCAAGTTTTGAATTGGCGTAATCTATAAAATGAGTTTAGATGAGACCCATTTAAGACAAAGCATGCTTTATGCATTTGTCGGCTTTTGAAATCTGTGAGATACATTCGCACAGTCTCTGAAAATAAAGTCTTAAGCATCGAGGAAATTCAAGCAATTGTTAACTCGGTCAGCGAATCTTATCCTCAAAGATTCCACTCTTTCTTTTGAATGAATAAATTTAATCGACAACCAAGTTCAGCTAGCCGTAATCAAAGAAAATACAAAGCTGACTGCACAAGAAATGGTACAACAATTCCATAATCCATATAACAATCATAATCCAACTCTATAAATTCGGTAAAGTGTCAAAAATTGGCCAATGGGTTTCACATGATCTAACTAGTTCTCCCGTTAATTAGAAAGACACCATTAAGGACAAAACACACTATTACACATTTTCTGGAAAGAATAATCACAAATGATAAAAGTGGGTTATTTATAGTGATTTTCCAAGCGTAGCTTAGATGTGGTACAAGGACGAATATCGGAGGGGGTAAAAAATCTAGTGAGAATCGAACTCACTTCTCAGTCGTAATTGTTTTAGCGAGACAAGCTTGCTAACCTTTACACTTCCTCGAGGTGCCGATATGATTTTCTAAACGTAGCTTAGATGTGGCACAAGGCCGAGAGTATGGGGAACCCAGTAGAGATCGAACTCACTACTTAGTCGTAATTGTTCTAGCGAGACAAGCTTGCTAACCATTACACCGCCTCGTGATGCCCAAACGATTTTCTAAGTGTAGCTTAGATGTGACACAAGGCCGAGAGTATGGGGCATCCAGTGATATCGAACTCACTTCTTTGTCATAACTGTTCTAGCAAGACAGGCTTGTTAACCATTACACCACGCCGAGGTGCCCTAAAGTGGGTTATTTATAACCATATTCAGTGAAAGATTCAGTGATTTCGAAAAGCCTGTAGCCGTATTAAAACTTTGATTACTCCCTGACATATTAATGCCCTCTCTTTATAAATACAGAATATAGCAAAATTAACGCGGTTTTTTATTTATTAACATTTATTGAACGAAAATAATTTAGATTCGTTTAAGAAAATTTATAAGTATTGACACATTAAAACAATGTGATTTGTTGGGATTACCACACCATTTAACATGTTTAAAATGATCCCCTTCATGTTCCATGCAACGTTGAACACTATCAGCAACACTTCTACAAACCATTTAACATATTTCTACATTAAGAAAACTTACTACTAATTGCTTGTTTTAATTCAGTAAATGTTTTCGGCTTAAGCATGTAATCAAGGTCTTTCTGTACGCCCCACAAGAAAAAAACTCTGGTGGTGTTAGATCGGGGAATCGTGATGGTTACTTAATTGATCCACGTTGTTTTATTCACTTCAGTTCGAAATTAAGATTTAAACATTTTCAAAACCTAAGGCATAATCATTTAATCCACAAGCAAAACAATAATGCCACTAGAAGGCAGAGGGTTACAGAGAGAGAAAGTGAAAGAGAATGAGAAAACTGAGATTGGGGAGGATTGAGGAAAGCACAAAAATGAAACAAGGTTAAAAAAATCAGAAGATGACGATTGACACTGCATTTAAATTCTGAAAGATTGTAGTCATCAAGGAAGCAAAAAATCAGAAGGGAGTTCCGCGGGTCGGAAGTGCCAGAAAAGTAAACTGCTAAAGTATCAATTGCATCTGGCTAGTTTAGCAGGAAAACAGTGGGACCTACTTTCCAATCTAGTAGCATGCTGAAATTCATGTAGTCGGGGAAGCAGAGAAAAATTTCATCACAGCTGTTGCCATGAAAATATTTGTAAGAAAAGACAGCGGGCGGGAAGTTATGTCTCGTCGGTGAGAAATTGACTGAAATCGAGATGCCTGATCAGGATCTATTATATTACAACCCCTTGTTTGGATTTTATCAACAATCTCAAGATATACAGCAGGAGCATCAGACCAGATATGGCAGCAATATTCAATACACAGACGAATGGTAGATTTATAAATGTGCAAGATAGATTCTGACAAGAAAAAAATCTGGTACGACACAGTGAACTAACATTCCATGCAATTAATTCCATATAGTCGCTCCACTTTATGACGCCAAAAAGACGTATATTTTTGTTCCTATGGAGTTTAGCATCAGTCATGCTGATAGCAAACGGAAAAGGTTCTCTATGATGTTTAAATGAAAGCAGTTTTGTTTGCAAGCCACTGATTGGAGGCCCTTTCCAATAGCAGTTGCCAGTTATACTTTTTGTTTGCTAGTAAGGCAGGAGTAAATTCTTGCGTCATCTGTATAAATATCTAGATGGAAACCCTAAGGGGATCATTGATGAAGATGAGGAACAGCTTAGGTCTCAGGATAGAGTCCTGGGGGACCCACAGGTTAGTATGAAAGTATGCTCGTTCAACGCAACTTTCACTACACGAAGCCATCTTAAATTACTGTAGTTTATTTTTGTTCAACAAAAGTTAACATTTATAGAAGGGCGTTAATTTTGTGGCACCCTGTATAAAGAATTTCGTTTATCATGAAGTGTATTAAAATGGTTACTTCTGAAGGATATTATTTTTAAAATTAAGCAATACATCAATCTTTGATGAAAAAGAGAGCTTCATTAACCAATCAGGTAGATGCATGTTAATTTTGCACGACAACGCATGCGCGTGTGACTGATGAGGGCATCGTACTAAATCTCCCATTTATAACATTTTATTCGGTCTGGTGTGTGGCTTTGCAATTTTCTTCGAACGTACTTTCTCTATTCTCATCGAGATGTAAGGGATTTTCTCTTTTCTCTCTATATCCTTTGAATTGTTTATATATTTACTTATCAAGCAGTTTTATTCATGCCTGCACACTCTAGACACATTTTGGCTTGTTGACATGACACGAAAAATATTAAAAGCACAGACCTGGATTTGGTAACTAGATGGTTATCCTTGAAGTAAACCCACCGATACACCTGGCCTCTCTGAAGGACTATGAGCGCAAAGTGTATTTTACTTTCATCTAATGTGAGATGCATACAATACACCTAGGAACATTTTTAGACACTGAATATGGAAGTTTTTACTTCACCCGTCGGATTGTCACTTTTTCAAAGCTTTACAATATTTTTTATATATGGGAACATTATACTAATTATGGAGAGGTTGAAAAACACAGACTGTTTTTTCCTGTACTCCTGGATTATGTCTTCGAAAATGGAGAAAGTTATTACCTTTATTAAATTTGTAATTGCTCAAGAAATATAACTCAGTTATAGTGATTGCCTAAGCATAGCTTATATGTAGCACACGGTCGAAAGGAGGGAAAACCCAGTGACAATCGAACTCAGCATAATTAATCTAGCGAGACAAGCTTACTAACCATTCCACCAATTCGTAGTGCCCACATAATTATATATCCAACATAAAAGAAATAGGACTCTCTTTGTAGCCTAATACAGGACGTTTTTACCTTAATAGAAATAATACCTGAATTTCGATTGACTGATTTGTTTTCTGTGGCTTATCAGCCTTTAGCAGGTTATTTAAAGCCAGAAAATATTTATAGGTTGTAAGAATTGTTTTCTTCGAGATAATAATGGTTTAATGATACAAGTCGTACTAATTAACCCATAGCTGGGGAGAGAAGAGGTGGATTCATGCCTTTCCCAAGGGTATTTGTGCTTAAGTGATTATAACGAATCCAAAAAGAATTGGCTCTCCGATTAACAATTTCGAGTCATTATCTATTACACCACCTGCATATCCAAGCTTACAGCACCTGATATTCCTAGGCGGTTACGCATCTAGGTACTAACCTGGCTGGACATTGCTTAACCTAGCTGATCGTACGGGAATCGGTGTTTTAACATGATGTGGCCGTAAACCATAAATTTTGATTGTTCAGTGTATATATTTTCAATTTTTGAAATTAATATTTATCTCAATTAAAAATTTAATAAAAAACAAGCAAACTTTAATTTAAAACTTGAAATTTCTTGGGGTGAATTAATATTTGCGATAAGTAACTTTGCATTATTTGGGGTGAATTAACAGAAAAGATCCAAAAGTTTTTGAGGATAAAAATTTGAATTCTATTCATGGAAACAAATATTCTTTCGCTGCAAAGGTTTCTTTTGTAATTCTTCATGAAGTAATTTGTCTAATGTAATGTTAAACAGAATTAGAGTTATTGCTTAATACCGTGTCACTTCAGGGGATAGGGTAGCATGTCTCTCCACATATTTCTTTTCTTTATTATCTAGAGTAAAGTGGTCTCCGTTGCTTTCGCCACCGTTTTGAATTCAGAGCTAGAGATCCCCACTCTATTCTGATATTTAATCCGTAACCGTAAAATGGATTCATGCCTTTCCCAAGTGTGTTTGTGCAAAATTGAACGCAACAAATTAGGTCGGAAGTTGAACTCGATTAGCTGAGTTCACTTTTCACGCCGACGACTCATATACATTACAATCGACAGTCTTTTTAGTACTGGGTCTGTAGTACATAAGATATTTGATTGAAATAAGTAGTATAATAAAAACTTCTCTTAAGGTGTCTTAGGCGCTAGCGGAAAAAAAATAACGGGTTCATTGTTGAATATAACATACCAATCATCATCATCATCTTCTACTTCTTTCTATTATTATTCTTCTTATTATTATTATCTATTTTCAAGATGATTTTTTTCTGATTCAGTAGCAGAGAATAGAAAATATCAATATAAACTTTTCACTGATGTCACGAAAATGACATTTGGTCAATAGTCTCGCTTAATATAGGAATTTCCATTTAACAAACTTATCATTTTCTTCTTAGACAGAACCTCGGCATTCTTCAATAAAGAATGCAAGCAATCACTTATGCCACAGCAATAAGCCAGCAAAGTGACAACTCGTTAAGAATCCCGGAATTTAGGCATTTATATTAACCAATATTTTGCTTCAGTTATGTACACTGCGTAACCAAAGATTATGTTCGATATGTCATTAACAAGAATAAAGAAAGGGTTTGGCTACGTTTATCCGCGGTTCCTATAAGTTATGACTGTATAAATGGTGAGTGCTCCATTCACAAAAGCTCGTGGTCTTTAAAAGGGTGTAACATTTTAAATATTTTGTCGTATTCACGTCATTTACCTGTCAGGATGTGTCGTTTTCGAACACACCCATCTATTTAGTTGGCAAACTAATCCCTGTCGCAGACGCTTGCTCAGACACATTTGTGTTTATTCAACGTGCACTGGACCTACTTGTAGTTTATGCTGCGACTATAAGCAAACGATAGTTACAGTTTTTGAGAAAGAAAGAGAGAGAGAGAGACTGATAGAGAGAGAGACTGAGAGAGGGAGACTGAGAGAGAGAGAGAGACTAAGAGAGACAGAAAGAGAGAGAGAGAGAGAGAGAGCGAGACTATTCTTGTGTAATGAACATTAAGCAAATCCAGTGCGCCCAAAATCTCGGTCACGATGACATGTGGCTTCGTGCTAGCATAATCATCGACGGCTTTCGAACGGTTCTGCCTATCCAATTTTACTCACAAGGCTTGGGTATCTATAGAAACAAGCATGCATACACATACATACATACGCATACATACATACATACAAAGAGAGAGAGAGAGTGAATGAGAGAGGGGATAACTATTATATCTACAAGAATAGATCAATATATACGTAGCTTGTAATGGGATTATTATTTTCCCTGTGTAATATTCAATCGATGTGATTATTATCCGCAGTTTAATTAAGTGCATTAACAAGAAATGAGATTTTGTTGAAAAATAAATATGTGTTATGCAAAATAAAGGCTTGATTCATAATTAACTGTTGGACTTTTTGATCTATTTATATGGAAGAAAGATAATATATATATATATATGCTTTTGAAAAATTTATTTCGGTTGAGCTCTTTGGGGAGGTAGTGTGAGTTTGTAATCAGTGACTATAACTGCTAATAATGTAAGACTCTTCGGTAAAGCGAATCGAGTTCTGTCAGTCAGTATGTGTTTATCTAAAAATAAATACACTTAAATTCAGCCCTGCGCAAAGGTAGAATCTCTGACTGACGCCACTTCAGCCGGGTTTCGATCCTATCTAAAAGCAACCTAATTTTCCACACTGGTGACCTACGAAACAGTCTGTCTGTGGATGACTATATATATATATATACACATATGTGTATTTGTGCGTATGCACGTGTGGATGTGTGTAAAGAGGGGGAGAAGAAACTTTAGATTTGATTGAAGGTACAAATATAATAAACTACCCTCGTAGACGGAGATCCTCCCTGCCCACTCGACCAGAAAGTACCATTTTGGTTTGGGAAGAGTTTAGAAAATTGATTTATTGAATTAGAGATTATTGAGAAAGAACCGAATTTCGAAGGTTCTCCAGAGTCTTTGCTTTTTTGCTTATTTGTGTCTGGTATTCATTGACAATTTTCCCTCGGGCCAATATTCGTTGCTATGAAATCAAGGTTCTGTCTATTGTTGAGCAAGTACAAACCTATATATACTTTTATCAATAGTTCTTAAAATTTATGTCTATTTTATTACATAGAATTATTACGCTAGTGTATAACACATTTCGCTTATCTTCCTTCGAGTTATATTCCCCGAGGCACTGCCGTAATTAAAAACCGATTTCTTGAAGATGATGTGCATCATCAGTATGATTATCGACAGGCACGGTGACCTGGCGTTATTCGGGATTAAATATTATAACTTATGGACAATCCAAGTTAAGTTTAGCGTATACGAGGAATTTCTTGTTATAATTTAATGAGGAGACAGATATTCAGATATTCATGTGTAGAAATTAAAACAATTGAACGCATTTATTATCGTTTATTTTTAGGTAATATCTTATAGCATTATGAAAATATATGCAGTTGATAGAATATCGTTAAACTAAATTTCGGACATCTTTTTGAAATGCTATAAGCATTAGTTCTATGCTGTATCTCGTTACAGTAAAGTTAATATTTCATAGAAACTCTAAAATAATGTTTTTAAAACAATTTTCTCGCAGTTCAGACGGAAGTAGGGGCGAATAATTAATGTATGTCGTAAAGTCATTAGTAACAAGAGAGTCGATGGGATTAAGATAGGATGTAATAAGAAAGAAAGCTTGAGAACAATGACTACAAACATTGTGAACATAATAAGAAAAAAAGATTGAGTGAGTTTATCCGTTACTATCGAAAAAGTGTGATAGCATAAAAAAAATGACAGAAGGAATAAAAACATGAAATTCGAAAAATAATCAAGAATTGACAGACAGAATTAAAGCAACTAAGATATGCCGATGACATCCCAATTCATGTAATTTCACATATAAAGCCACTATGAGCTATATATTTACATGAATATAAGCATTCGTATATTTATGTAAATAATGCTAGTTCCATCAATTCGAACAAAACAATTCCTGTTCCAATCCGAGTAAAAAAGTTCTAAATATTATTTTGTTCTAATAACGCTAGTCCAGCAACATATAAGCCTCTCTTGTTTTATGTGCAAACAACCTTTAAGATGTAAAAAATATAAACACACACACATACATACACACACACACATATATATTTTTTTTAATAATCTTTAATACATTATCCTATATTAATTACAGTTGTATTAATCAGGATTAATAATATTATTAAGATACCTTATTTTATTTTATTCCTAATTCCCAGGTAATCTTTAATACTTTATGCATTAATTATAAATTATACTTATGTGTTTTCTAGCGTCACCGAAGGTAGTAAAGGAAAAGGGGAAGAAGAGACTAACAACAAATTGTAAGAGGACAGAATGAATGGTTGTCAGCAACATGAAAAGTCCAACCTGTGAACTACAAAATGGAGGCACTAAAATCAAGCAAGAACATTTCAATATCTGGGAAGTGTTTTAATAGATGTCAGAAAGTACGAAACTGAAATCTGAAGGCGTATTGGAATATCGAAATTTGTCTTCTAAAAGTGCAGCAAAGAATTAAGAAATAGGAAAATTTCGTACGAAACAGGCAAGAGTACTAAACTGTTATGTAATTATGTAATTATCAGTATAAAAGAGTGCTTCATGGCGATAGTGTCATCTGCATAAGACGTACAATAGAAGAGAGAAAGAAACAATCACATTCTAAGAGCAGACAAAGAACGATAATAACAGCCGCTATCTGAGAATATCTTGAATAGAACATTTGAATGAACGGGAAGTTTTACGGAAAATATGGACAAGTAAAATGATATTTAGAATCATTAAAAGGCAGTTACAATTTTTGGGACCTATAATCTTCTTTTATCTACCATGTCCTTTGAGGATGTTGGCTGTAATAGCTTTTCCTAATTTCGTGCCCTTTGTAGCGTTTAATAAATTTTGTCTTTTTTGTTGTCTCTCTTATATCCTGTAGTGCCAGTCCATTTGCAGGAACTCGCTAGCTAGATTGTGTGTTGTTTTCCTATCTCCATCTTGCCTCCAATCTGTCCTGTGAGTATCAAATTTTCCATGCCCTCTTTCCTTATTATCTGACCTAAAAATTTCAACTATCTCTTTTTGATGTTAAGCATAAGTTTCCTTTTTTGTTTTTATTGTCTGTAAAACTTCGTCGTTGCTCATATGTTCGGTCCATGGTATCCTCGGCATGCCTCTGTAGAACTACAGTTCTGTTGCTTCAAGTCTGTTCTTCATCTGAGAGGAGATTGTCCTGCATTCACTTCCATATTAGAGGATTTATATTACGTAGGGTTCCAATATTCTTTTCTTTATTTCTAACGATGTTTTCATGTTTCATAATATGAGGCTTAGCTTTTGGAAGACATCTTTCGTTATCCGAATGTTCTTTCGAATTTTTATTTTTCCGTACATCGTTAAAACACTTCTTATTTAAA